GGCGGCTTCGGTGTTTGCGTTGATCGCCGCCCTGAGCGCCTCGAGATCGGCGTCGCCTCGCTCGCACGCCTCAACCGCCTCGCGCAGCGCAGCCTCGGCAGCATCGCGCGCCTCCGCCGCCACCGCTGCCGCTCCCGCCTCGCGTGCGGCCGCCGCGACCTGTTCGGCTGATTCTGCGACCGCCGTCTCCCCCTCAGCCTCTGCTGTGCTCGACGTGTGCTCCTCGAGGGTGCGCACGCACTCGGCGTGGCCCTTCTCCTTGGCCCACTGCAGCGCCGTCTCGCCGCTCGCACTGCGCGCCGCATCATCTGCGCCCGCCCGCAGCAAGCGCCGCACGACGGTGAGGTGGTTGAATATGGCGGCGATCATCAGCGCGGTGCCACCGTTGCTGTTCTGCAAGTTGACATCAGCACCGTGCTGCAACAGCAGCTCGACCACCCGCTCGTGGCCGTAGCCGGCGGCGACCATCAGCGCGGTGACGCCGTCGCTGTCCTGCAGGTTGACCTCCGCGCCGTGCCGTGTCAGCAAGTCGACCACCCGCTCGTGGCCCGGGCCGGCGGCGGCCATCAGCGCGGTGCCGCCTTCGCCGTTCTGCAAGTTGATCTCCGCGCCGTGCCGAAACAGCAAATCGACCACCCGCTCGTGGCCTTCGCCGGCGGCGCCCATCAGCGCGGTGTAGCCGGCGCTGTTCAGCAGGTCGACCTCCGCGCCGCGCCGCAGCAGCAGCTCGACCACCCGCTCGTGGCCTTGGCTGGCGGCATTCATCAGCGCGGTGTCGCCGTTGCTGTCGTGCCGGTCGACCTCAGCGCCGCGCTGCAGCAGCAGCTCGACCAGCCGCTCGTGGCCATACACGGTGGCGCCCATCAGCAGCGTGAGGCCGCTCACGCCGCCTCTCTCGTACGTCGCGTCGGCCCGCCCGCCACTGTCAAGCCACGCCAGCACCGCCTCCTCCTCGCCTCGCTCAGCCGCTGCCACGACCGCATCGGGGACTGCCACGACACCGCTCGGCGCCCGCCCCGCCGCCACCGCTGGAGATGGCGTCTTCGCGACTCTCGATCCAGCCGAGGAAGCGCCGCCGGAGGAAGCGCCGCCCGCGCCTTCGCCGCCGGCTGCTGTCGCCGTGGGCCGTCCCGCCAGCATATCCTGG